AAGGAAGGCACTCAGTGGCTCAGCTTGCTGAGGCAGAGGTTCGCAGTTTACAAATCTAGGAAGCTCAGATAGGAAAGACACAACTCTTGACACGTGCAGGGCCTGCACTGGGTTTTTCTGGCTTGTAACTTTACACCAAAATTGCTCTTATGTTATCCATGTTAAGCACATTTCTTATTGCAAGCCTGTGCTGTTCTGGGAAGAGCAAGCCTTCTGAAGAGCATGATATGCAGGAACTGGCTATTGCACGCACAAAGCAGTGAAGCAGAATAATCAGCAATCACTTGGGATCTTCATCAATAAATATGACCAACTTCTATTCTGTAGTCCCAAACAATTGGGACAATTTTGCACCCTTCTAGCTCCCACTCCTCTCCCTGTGCTCAGGGCCCTTTTCATCTCACCTGGCTTGATGTGAGGCTGTCACACTGCATGGAAGTGCCCCATTTAATGGCAGGTGTGTACTAACACATGCACTGACAGGGGATGTTCACAGCAGGCAGCCTTGGGTGCTTCCATTAAAGTTCTGCATGGTGAAGTACAAGACTTCACTGTAGTCAACAAGACTACAACATTGACAAGTTTGATGGAATTACAGACTTTTCAAAAAATTGAAGGGGGTTAGCTTTTTTAATCTTTGCCCAGATTGTTGCAAAAATGAACCTCACTTAAGAGCTGTCTTTACTTGTCTTTGATGAAGACCATCAGTGAATAGCCATGGTGTTTGAAAAGAGAAGACTAGGGTGTAGTTAGGAATAACATCACTTTCAGTGTAGCATGAAGTCAGCAATTTAGTGAAATGGTTGAAATATTTCAGCCCAGATGCACCCCTTCTCAGAGTCAGGGATCATCTGGTAACTGCTTGAAAAGCAGACACAAAAGGGAAAAATTAAAGGAAGAATCAACATTAAATGTAGGATGCTTGGTTGAACTTGAGAAATGCTCTGATAACAACTTCAAGCATTCAAATGGAAAAAAAACCCATGCCTGTTTAATATTATTGATTTCATGTCTGGAGAAAACCCCATGAATATTGTGTCTTAGCTGTGGGAGATGCTAACTGAAGGCAGACAAATGAATGAGGTCAAATCAGTACTTTGTTCAAACAATGAAACTGAAATAGAACAAAAAGCTGGTAAAAAAAACAACTTGTGGTGAAATCAGTTTCACTCTCTGAAATATAATAATTTTATTATGCTTTTGTGATAGTGAAGTAACCTTAAAAGTCTTTTGGCAAAATCCTGGCTTTTCAACCTGTTGGGAATATAATTATTTTCAACAGCATCAGGACTCTACCATGCGATTGCAATCCGGGCACTCAAAATGCTTGTGTGACTGTGAGCCCTCTCTTGCTTTGGTCTGAACTTGGAGGACTGATACTCCTGATTACCATTTTACAGCATTTTTACAAAGGGTAGGAGTTATTCACAGAAGCTATCTAAGGAAGACAGATATCTGCCAAGGGAGAGTAACAAACTCCTGGAAGAAGACCACTGAGTACTTCTAAAATGAGACTTGCACAAAAGAGTCTCCTCCTCTCCATTCGCAATAGAGTGATAACATGGATGTTAACCTTCCCACCTCCAAAACAGGGATATATTCACTGAAGCTATGTAACTGTATTTGCATGCAGTGCCCCATCTATGCTGAACTCACCAGTGAGCAAAAGGAGATCTTTGATCAAAACACAGAAGTAACCTATGTACTAGAGGCTCCACAGAAAGCCACTGAACTTGCAGAAACAGAGGAAGAATACATTGCCTTTGTAGAGTTAGTCACAAAACATGTGATCAGCATTTTGAGTTTGAAAATGGTCTCTACCCAAGTGCCCCTCCCAAACAAGATTATTTTTTTTCATGTTGGGACTATTTAGGTCCCAGGAGTCTGGGAACATCCTAGAAGTGGATTATATCTGAAATGATAATTGTCCATTGGTCATTATTTTCTGTTCAGTTAAGACAGAGATGTGAATGAAATATCATTATATGCAGCAATGAAGAGGAAATTAAAAGGGGGGCAAATTAGAAGCAATCTTTTCCTAACCACAGGGCTGAAGGAAATGAGTACTCAGTGACAGTACTTCTTGCAGTTCTGGGTATTGAAGTCTCTGTTAACACTAGTCCAGGATCTCGGGCTCTATGTACTGCTTGAGCCCGACATTTGCCCTTTCCTGACACAGAGTATAGCTGGGAAATGTCAACAGCCATAACAAATATTACTGCATGTACCTGGCAAGTCACTCATGAAACACTCTTATGACTCTGTACAGAGCCTTGTAAGATGGTTCTACCTTCTGGAAATAACAGATGTACTGGCAATACACTAAAATTTTAGTCCCCTGCCCCCACAGATTTGTGTGTGAACTGCCATGCAGGGAATGTGACACTACAATTGCTCCAATCTCTTAGTTAACCTAGATAATTCTCCTGCAAAAACAAGAGAAAAAAAATTAAGGTCAATTTATAGGTTGGGCACCTATAAATTACTTCAGAAGGGATGCTTTTCTTTTTCCAAAGGTGTCCAGATCCTTGTTTCCCTTTCAGGATGGTCTAACATAATAGATATGTAGAAGACATGCCAGGATAGGTCTAAGTATAGATATTCATACATATCTGCTTTCACTAAGAATAATATTTCCATGCTTTATTTTAAGAAACAACATTTTCTAATGTAAAATATGATGCAGACTAGTGCCATCAAGAGAAATCCTGAGGACTGCAGAAAATAATCTTTTTAAGATTACAGTATGGGCTCTCTTGATATGTACGCAGTGTGCCTGAAGTTTCTCCTGTCCTTTCTAGGAGCTTGATTTTCTGCAGAGTAAGTAATCTAAATATGCCATAGTGTGAAGATTAGATTGTGTGTTCAGTGTACAGACATACGTTGCCATTTTTCCTTACCAACACCTCCCACTATTGCTCGACATGTAGAGGTATTTCATTTGCTGAATTCAACCTGTCAACTGTAACAAATATGTCCTAATCCTGTTATATGCATCACAGTTCACTAACAACCACATAGGAGCCACCAAGCCTTTTTCTCTTTGATCATCCCAGATTTGCACAGTGGCCAGGGGCAAGAACCATGGAGTCTGCTGAGGATATATGTGGAGGGACAACCTGCAAGGCACAACACCTGAATGCTACATATTTGATATAAATGGCAATTGTTTAAAAGGGACATCAGCTTCCATTTTACAAAATACATTATTGTAGTAAAAGCTTTAACATCTGTTCCTTCCCTCTATTTCTCTATTTTCATTTGTACTGCTGTGCTTTCTCTGATTTCATGGCGGCGTAATAGTTGAACACATGGCTGCAACTGTGACTCAATAATTGTAACTGTCTGGTCTCCCTCTTCGCCATTAATTTAGGTATTGACTTCTTTTCTTAGGAGTCTTATGAGATCATCATGGGAAGTGCTCATGGCAAAGAGGGGCAGAAAATAGAGTTTCTATCCTATGGAAAATTCAGGCATTTGAAGAACTTCTACAATTAAAAACTGGAGCAAAATATTACATTTTGAAAAATTTACCATTAACCAAAGATTCTGAAATATTTTGGTTTAGATATCTGGGAATGATGTACTGACACACTCTCTTTAGACAATCAAAATGTTCCCTTTCAGTGTTATTTCAACCTTAATATTCTATAAAAATAAAACTTTCAAGCTCTTCTGTTTATCCAGTTGCATATAAGTCAGAATGATACAAGTTGAAGCATTCAGGTAATTTTTCTTTAAAACATTTCAATACTGCAAAATATCATTTCATTCACTTTTTTTTGGTGAGGAAGCAAGTTCCTTTAGAAAGTTTCTAAGCTTTACATTTCTATATTCCTTTAGGAAACTTGCAACCAGCTATTGTACAAAGGCAAGTTTTTAGGTAGCAAATGTGAGTATTTCAAGATCATCATTGGATTAATGTATTTTTGGTTTGCTAACACAATCTTTCAAAGGGGCAATGGGATGTTGTGCAGACAGACTGCAGTTGCAGATTTGTTGGAGCTATCAGACAATATTGAATGTCTCCTGTCCAAATGCTGAGAGCTATGAGGCTCTATCGACTTCACTGCGGAAACAGACCACAATTAATGAGATTCAGGAAAGGATTAAAAAAAGGAGGACAGTGTTTCCTTATCACAAAGCAGTTCACAAAATTTGAGCCTTCCATTCAGGTTTAAAATAAAACTGTTTTCCTGGTTGAGCCATTAGCCAACACATGGACTAGAATAGATGTTAAAATATATTAGTGTTCAGACTGTTGCTAGTTCTCTTGTCTAGGTGGAAAATATCATATAGAATCAGTTTTAAATTTCATATGTTTATGACAAAGCACAAGATTGCACTGTCTGGATGGCAAACATAGCAGGAAAATTTCCCTTTTTTTTCCTCTGTCCCTCTATGGAAATTGCTATTTTGACTGCAATTATTAAGGGAATAACAGAAGCATTATTTGTTTTGGCAGGAGGTTTCAAAAAACATGACCTTAATAGTCCTTTGATGTTGCTGGACAAAATAAAGATTTAATGAATTAATTTAGCCCTCTTGTGCCAATTAACTGTTTCCAAATTATATACATATATGAATCACTTTGCTCAGAACTGAAATGTGGCCAGACTTGCCCAGCTGCAAGGTGGCAGCCACAGAGACAAATGGCATAACTCTGTAGCTTGAGTAATTCTGGAGAGGACACCATGGCAAAACATTTCTTTTCCAGTCGTTTCCATGGTATCTTTAACACCCACATATAGCAAGTAGGACATTGGTTGTTAAAGTCTCATCCAAATAAATCCTACAAAGTAAATTGCATGGAACCCAATTTATCTACCTCGAAATGAAGTTTGCTGGGATTTGAACCTGTGGCTTCAAGAAAAAAAACAGGCACTTCAAACCTGATGTGCAAATCATTCAGCCTTTCTATCAGCTTTAAGACATAAATAGTAAATTTGAGACCATACACATGCATATATCTAAATCTATACATAGACAACTGTACATACATTTGATTGAGATTCATCATGCCCATTGATTTCCGCTAATTCCTTGGTGCTTTTTAACTGCAAAGAGTGAACAAAAACCAAAACTGAACAAAACAAGCACATTACTTGAGTATTTCACACAGTTATCTTTGATTTATTTGAAGGAGCATTTTATAAAGCTTCCAATGAGAAAAACAGATGGAGCATATAATTCTAATGAGTTTTTGCTCAAACCATTTTGAAACCAGCATACTTAAGGCTTGATATGTTGAAAAAAAAAAAAAAAGAAAGAAAAATAATAAGACTGGGTCATTATTTTTAAAATAATAAGATCAGAAAGTAGTTTCAAGGCATAAAAAGTGTACAGAAATTGCTCTTCAGAATAATAAACAATTTCATTTCCCATTGTTGTTGCTACTTAATTTAAACTTTACAATATTTGCAAGTTGCCACTAGCTAAATAGTGTTTTGCTAATGATTACTTTTGAATGATATATTTTGAGCTGTTTGAGATGTCAAAGTGTTACTATGTGTTTCCTTCCTGAGGAAGCATCTAAATAACTGACATGGCTCCTGGGTATGATGGAAAGAGAGGTTAACAGAACAGCTCTTTTATTTAACCAGTGGCAGGAAGAACTGAGAAGACACTGCAAATATATGACCTGAATCCAAACTGTTTTTTCCCTCCTGAATTAGCTTTTTGGGGAAAATCCAGGATTACACTGGGGATTGTGAAGATCACTCTCAAGAGATTTAAGGAATGCCCTAGCTCACATCTCGAGCCACAGTGCTGCCATTCATCCTGTGACTGAGCAAACAGAGCAAGGAGGAGACATCACAGCTCTCCTGAGTCTATAAGCCATGGAGGTTTGTACACTTAAATGAAGCTCCCAGAACCATTTGCTCTTTAGGTAAATCTCTGAAGAGTCATGCTTGTATTCTAATTTATTTCAAAATAGATATCTGGGGTGGGAGGGATGAGGAAAAATAAACACAACTTTCCTCCGAATTCCTTGGTTTTTGCCAAAGAACCTGGGCTTGATGCAACTATTGATGCTACAGCTGTGGCTCTGAATGACAACAGTCCTAAAATCCCATTAAAAAGGAACTCTATTATGTATTGCTTAGGTGGCTGACTCAGAAGCATTGGTGGACTACCATTCTAAGGTGGCTAGGTTACCTCCACCGTAGTTTTAACATGTGGCTGCAACAGCTGAACTGGGTGTGATTCAGTTCTCAGCTTTTGAGTTTGCAATCTCACAATTAGGGTAAGCAGGTCGTGTTCTGTACGTGCCTTATTACCCAGGTTTGTAAACTGCACCAGTTCAGCAATTGCTGCTCAAGCCACTAAACCAGTCCTGATGGAGAGGGAAGAGGGCAAAAATTCCTGATAAAGTAGTACTAAGGATAGCTGGGCAGTGCAAATTCATCGGGTCTCCTGGTTCAATTCACTGAAGCTCATCTTTAAATACTCTGGAAAAGTCTGCAATTTATCCTGAATGCAGGGTGGTGCTTTTCCAATGAATGCTACATGTTTTCCCTACTCTCACTGAAAAAATCATCGTCCTGTGAAACCACCTCACTGTGAGTATGGCTGGCAGGAACAAGCTGAGATGGCTACTTCCAGCCAAGTACCAGAATTAGGTGTTTCTGTGTCACAGTGTGACCAGAAGAGCTGATTCTTCATTATAGAAATTCACCTCACATGAGCAGTCTTGTTGGATTCAGCTGAATTACTTGTCTGAATATGAGGTCAGAAGAGCATGTTCAGTTATGTAAAACTGTACTGCATGCTAATGACATGTCCTGAGTGCTCAAGGAATGCTGTTCATTACCTTTTGCCTTTCCTTTTCTGGGTTGTTAAAGTGCCATTACCTCTTGGACTGCTTGGCAATGCTTTGCATGCATTCTTCTGGTGACATACTACTCCACCATGAGCCACATGCGTGTTTGACGGGAGAGTGGGCTCAGCCTCTAGCCTACGTTGGTCTGGCAGACTTCCACCTCACCATGGTTTCCAACCATCATCACCCTGGCACTGCTTCACCAGTTAATATAATACAGACAGGATGCTTGAGCATTTCCATCTCTTTTATTGCCTGCTATGCTCTGAAAAGGATGCCAGAGCTCAGGCAAGAAGGTGCTAGGATCCATGTCTAGACTAGGACCCCCGTACTAGGAGGTGGAGGTAAACCAGTGGAGATAATGGTGGAAAACTTAAGGGTGGGCAGTGTGCAGTGGCATTCCCTCAGGCTAAAGGGGTGAAGTCCCATTTTTTCCCAATAATGTTCTTTTTCTAAATTACAATTTAAATTATATTCTTCTCTCACATGCTAAATAGAGTAATGTTGGAATAGGAAGCTCAGAAAAACACACAATATTGGAAAAACGGGACTTGCTTTACCCTGTAGGCTGACTCCATCGCAGTGTGATGTTACCAGCAGAGAGTGCTGGTAACTGAACTAGTGCCAAAGGCCTACAACTAACAACCAAGGGCGTACCTGGAAGAAGAAGGGATGAGAAGTCAAAAGACTGATAAAGCTAATGCTGTGGTGGGGTAGGCCTGACTCACCCCAGTGGGCGTGAATACCTCAGACAACCAGAGCTGACAGCAACGTGCCAGATCTGATTTGGAAGCCTTTTGACTACAGCAATAAAATATGGTCCACCAGCAAACAGGACCTCTCCCAGTAGGACATCCCAGTCTGGATGTGGCTAGGTGAGATGCTGCCATGCTCGGACAGAGCTTCACATTTCCATGCAAACATGCCCATGGTGAGGCAAGGCAGGATATCTCTGTCAGCTTGGGATGAAAAGGCAGTTTTGAGCAAACATATCACAGAAACAAGCCACACAGTCAAGGCAGGAGTCCTGTGCTATTTATTTTTGAAAGAAATGTTCTATTTACTTGGCTTGGCTGGATGATTTTCAATACCCACTGTGGATAAAACACACAGATAAGCTATAGTGCTTGTAAAGGAAGGCTGTAGCCTTGGCAAGTGGGGGTCATTACTGCTAGGGTTTCTGCTATTCTGGAAAGTTTTGGAACTCATTCAAGGTTCTTGGAGAAGCACACTGGCTGCCTAGCACTCCTTAGGAATTCTGGCTACTTACAGTCTTGGCCTTAGGCATGTTTCAGAGCTAATTCTCAAGAGAAATGCAGATCCATTCTGCCTTTCTTCTAGCTACTGTTTTGCCTGTCTGCCTAGCATGAGTGCACATTTGATTCGCAATCAGTAGGAGTCTGCAGAGATTCAGAAGTCTGCCTTGGTGGTCCCTACTGGGCCTCACATTGCAAGATCTTCCTGTATGTTTTTGGAGCATTTAATTGCTACAAAGACATAAAATAACTGCATGTAATTTATGGGGGGTTTTTTTAGTACTTTCTAATGCTATACCTTGAATGCCATGTGAAAACGGAAATGAGATGCAATTAACTCAAGACACCCAGTGTATTCGTTGTTTATAAAGATTCTGTCATTACCAAATCTATTCTTCCTTATGGTGTCCTCTGTATTACAGAAAGGTGTACGACATCAGCTCTCATTTAGAAGGTTAGCTCCATAACCATAACTGCTAAGAACATGTGTCTGATCATAAAAGCTTCCAGAATCTAAATTATTAGTTTGTAGAATATTTGTCACTGGACATGTCCAAAGACAAATGTTAAATGTGCAACAATGTCACAGCTTTCATAATGAGCATTAAAAATCTAAAGTAAGCATAGTTTACTTTTCCAAATATGTACATTAAGTGTATACATCTGTCTGCAGACATGTTCAGACATACATGCTGAAAACATTTGAACATAAGAATCACTGGCATTTTGAATCTCTGCCATCTAAGCAATTCAGATCCCACAGACTTCAAACTGCAAATACTTAACCAAGTCATCAAATATTTTAGCTCAGTTTATATAGAAAGGATTAAAAGAAGGTCTCAAAGCAGATTCTGTGCCTATGCAGAACTGGTGGGGATTTAAGATTTCAGTGTGTCCAAGCCACATGGTCTATACATACAACATGTATTTGTGCACATTGTGCTTGCACACAATACACTGTTTCTTTTCTATATTTACAGACTTAGGACCAGATTTTCTTTTTGATGTGTAACTATCAATCTTACCATGCTTATAAGACAATACTATCAAATACACTTCTCAGTGTCATAGAACACCTTAGTATCAAAGAACATGTGATAATCAGATTTATAGAAATTTCCTTTTCACTGCTTAAATAAGTGCATTGCTAACTACTTGGTTTTTATGCCATTATGATAATGCCATTATATTTTCTGTATACTCATATCTGCATGAATTACACAGGAGATGCTGAGCTCTTTTTTTTCCATACTAATCTTAAAAGGAAGAGCTGTTTTGTTTCAGGTATATTTAAGTCACTCAACACTTTTTTCAAATTCAGAGTGAAAACACACATCACTGATACGTGTGTAGAATATATAGGAGGAAATATTACTCAAGACATGAAGTAAGGGTCCCTTTTCACTCTGTTTTCTCAAACTCTCTGTTAGCCTAATCAGAGCAGACAGACAGGCCACATCAGGTCACATCTTGCTCACAGCATATTTTGTGGTCAGACTCCTATGGATTTTGGAGGCGAAGCCATGAAGCCATGCCTAAGCCAGCATTTTACTCACCTGTTCCTGCAGGACTTTAAGCATTGCTTGTGTATGTGTTTGCTCTTCCTTGGCTTGCTCCAGTTCGGATTTTTTGTTATTTAATTCTTCCTGTATGCTCAGCAATTGCTGCACAAACAAAAGAAGTTACTGGTTAGCATCATCTCGATCCAAAGCAGTTTTAAATCCTCAGTTTGATAAATCCTCATTTCAAACATTGTTTTGCAGTCTGCTCCTACATTTATTATTGTTGCATAATCTGCTGTGTCTAAATGGACCAGAGGTAAATTATTTTCATCGGCATCTCCTTCTGCAGCAGTGCTCCACGAGTAATGCATCTGTTAATGTGCATCAAGCTATTTGTTACATTAAAGTAGAAACTCCTGGCACAGTACATCACCCACAGAGTGACTGTCACATTCATCTGAACCAAAATCTTATTTGTAGAAGTATACGCAGTGGTTTTAATAATACTGGGGTAAACACTATGGTACATAAATAATTTAAAAGCACAGACCTTTAATATAATTAGTCATTGGCCCACAGCCATTTTCATTCTATGCAAAGCAATATTCTGGAAAGCTTTCAGACTGACTTGCCAAGAAGACAAAAGCTTTCCTTTTTTTCCTCCTGTGCGGTGATATTTTATTAGATCAGAAAGACTGATGCCCTACAATCAATATATCAGCCAGGAAGACTGCTGATCTACTGTCAAAACAAAAAGCTATGACAAAAATCTATTTTTATGAAGAGAATTCTGGGATGCAGGAGCATCTTTAAAAGCCCACATCCCCTGGTCTTGGTGAGCTTTAGGTTCTGCATAGATTTATTGTGACTGTCAAGAGCAGGTCAGTAGATTTAATTAATTCTGAAACAGATATATATTTTTGTATTGATGTGAAGAATGTTAGACACTGTGAAGAGCAAGAGCCAAGAAACACCAGGTTAAAAAAGGAGTTTATAGTGTTTTCTCTTAGTGATTGATTAATGAACCTAAGATTTGCTGGGGCAAATTACTGCTTGTAAGCACACTCCTTTTTAAGGACTAATTGAATGACTAACTGCTTTACAAACCACCATTACTAATCTAAACCATGTAACTACATCTAAAGCTTAGTTTATGGCTATGCTGGAAACTGACTCAAACTGAGGTTGCAGGTGTGTAGCATCTTAGTAAGTCTGAGATAGCAAACTTAGAAAAAGTCCTTGGCCTTGTTCCACTGCACTGGAAGTCCCAGACATCAAAGGACATGGTGTCAGTATTGTTTTCGGAGTGGCTTGAAAACAGATGGCATTTCAGGGACCGGTGTGGTTATTGGTAGTGTATTTCTTTGTAAGTCAACATTAGTTTGATGGATTAATTCAGCAACTGAAGTAAAAATGCATGTGGTTGCCTGATTATATCTTGCACACCGTATGGTCCCACTGGGTTAGTTAGCTCTTTGATGGATCTTGCTGCCTGGACTGCTCCCTGGGAGCCTTCAACAGACATTCTGATATGTGTATTCATTGTACCACAGCACAAGAGAATTTAAAATCTCAAGATTTTTCCATGAAATAACATGGTTTATTCCACTGAGGGTTTTGCCTAACCAGCTTTTGTGTGGGAAGCTGTACTTCGGCATTTCTTGACCAGGGATGTGTTAATGTTGCCTGTTGGGTACTAGTTCCTACATTTTCAGAAGATACACTGAATTTGTGTATACTTTCATAGGTCACACACTGACACCTATGCAGGTCCCCAGAAGGGATCATTTAGTAAACTCATGTTAGTGCAGACCACTAAGTTTCACCTAGGATAGTTCTAGATAATGTCTGCAATTTAGAAAGAAGGAACTCCAGTCCTCAGAAGAGAAGCATGACACCAGAAAGATAGCATAAGCTCTTCCAAGGGTCACTAGCTGAAACACCTGAGGTTTGATAAGCAGATGTGTCATCTAATAGCAGCTGATGAAATGACCTCTCTTTCCCAGCTGCAACCTGTTTGAGCTTACACACCACATGGCAAGGATTGTTAAGAGAAAGGAGTTTTTGCCCCATTTCAGAGCCTTCTCTGAGCAGTTATGTCTCACCAGTGTGGTCAGACTCCACCTTCATCCTGGTTCAGAGATTTTACTCCAGCTTCTGGAAGAAATTTTAGAGGCCATCCTTCCAAACAATATAAACTCCCATCTAGAAGATCCCAAGTGAGCTTTCCGTTCATCTTTGCCTCTGAAAAGCCTTTTCACTACTGAATGATTGTTACAAATGGGAAACCAAATTTGACTTATGGGTTGAACTTGTTACACTCTGCCAGAACTGAAATCTCCGTCCCCATCCTACCCACCCCCTTCCCATGGTTTTTCCATGGCCGAGTTCTACATATCGTAGATCAGCTCACAATATTCCACTGTTATATTTTCACATCTCCCACTGTGAACTCCCACTGTGATTTAGTCTAATTATATCCCTCTTCCTTTGATCCTGACTTTTCCTGTTTTGCATTTAAGGCAATTTTTCCAAAACTGTCCGAGCATGGGATGAATTGGAGTGGAAGACACTGAGAGCATGAAAGAGAGATATGTGATGCTCTGCATCTTTGTACTTGGCTCTGGACCAGCGAGGAACAGGAATCCTAGGAAAATATCCAACATGCTCCGTTTCCCTGGGGTAAGATGCTTGCATTCTTATTGCAGTATGAGCTACAAAGCACTTGATAAGAGATAAAACCTTCCAGCAGTCATAGTGGTTAAACTGTCAACTACTGAAGGCATGCTTTGTGTGCATAGGCTCATACTTTCAAAGACAGTAACTGTGTCCTATTTTCACAAGGGTGGAAAGCAGAGTATCTGTAACTAAGGTACCATATTCCCAGTCATACATAAGGTTTTTCATTCACAGAACTGGGACCTTCCCATCCAACTCCCAAAGATGTCAAAATAGTTTAAAATTTGTAGCTGTCCCTTGGAGGTTTATATTTCTTTTTCTCTCCCCCATATTAATCTCTAAAAGCTGAAGAATCCGATAATTTTGCATGGCTCAGATTCAGATACTTCTGAGTGGTTGATGCTGCCACCAAGAAGCTGTAACAAGGAGTTAAACCTGCCAAACAGCGTACTAGTCTCATTTTGGAAATTGAAGAAATAGATTTGACTGAAAAAACATCAGCCTAAGACAGATGTACAACCTGAAAAAATTCAGCACAAATGCGTGGTGTTTGGCAAAGTTTAAAGCAAATGGGAAGAGTATCTTACACTGGCAGGAATGAGACAAGCTTCCTAACAGGGACTGCTGTCATGCCTGCTTATAAACAGACAGCTTCTCCATAAAGATTGTAACGAATGACGCCAAGAAGATGGTATTTAATTATTCATAATTATTTTGATTTTCATACATATGGACTTATTATTTCTTCTGCCCTTCAGCAAGCATACACCACAATTGATCAAAGTAAAAAAATTATTCTTCGTGTTAATGACTGTGCTGTCTGGTACTATTCCACCTGCTTTGCCATCTCACCCAGTCTTTCTGCCAGAGTTTCCCCCTGTGCCCACCTAGCCACACAGCTACAGCTACAACAGCTATCAAAGTGTCCCTTCTTTCAATCTTGTCTTATGTCTGGTCATTTCCTTTAAGCCCTGATGTCCCCAGCTTTGTGACACAGCTATGGTATTCTGACAGCAGTTTCCTCAGGCAAAGGAGTGATTTCTTGGTTACACAGCCAGAAAATACCTGACTCATTCTTCTGTTGTCTTCCACGTCCTCAGTGTGTTATTCCTTAGGTCTTGGAGGGTGCCCTGCAAGTTATGCAACTGTCTTCCCTAAGCCTAAATTCAAGTGTCAGGAAGCAGAAAAGCGTGTCATAGTGTTCATCATAGCTCTGATGATCCTGGGAAGAGACACCTGCAGAGCCTAGAGCTCCACCAGTACCAGTCTGGAAGTTCAACTGGTCACCATGGCTTCCAGGTTGACCTAAGAGAAGCAGCTCTGTAATAGGACCAAATCAGACTGGTAGATGTCACTAATATCCTCTTATAGGTATTTACAGGGAGGAGACAGGAAAGCAGAAAGAATTAACCACCTGGTTGTCTCTCCAGAGATCAAACAATGCATTTTAGATTAAAAAAAAAAAAAAGCAAGGCAGATTGTTTGTTTCCAGTGGCAACTCTGGAACTGCCCTGTGTAAAACAGTTAATACCACTCTCCTGTGTCAAGCTTCCTCCATTCATGGGGACCAAATCCCTGTACATAATTGGTGGGTAGCTAATTTCATTATGTGGGGGGAAGAGGGTATGTGTTTTATTTTGATTTTTTTTCACACATTCCCACCCCCAATGCTGAGTCTCTGCCAGAGACAGTTCAGTACCGCCCATATTGCGTAGATCTCAAAAGTGCAGACAGAAAATTACCATCTTAAACCAATCTTTGCAGCTTCTGAAACATTAAATATAGATGGTATTATTGAAGCCAGCTGAATTACTCAGGCTGTGTACAATGCAGTGCCAGTGTGGCCAAGAATGCTAACAACTCAACAACATGCACTGCCTTGGAATATATGAGAAGCCCTAAAGGGAAAGTAATAGCTTGCTGTTGTGTACCACTGTGCAACCATGAAATACTCCTCTTTCCTCTCCTCCTCCCTGCCCAAAGTTCTGCATGGCTCCCCAGAAGGCAGTGTTACATGTGTACATTTGAATATAAATTATGGACATATCTACAAGTGTGGTCACACCCCAAGCCTAGCAGGACAGACAGGGATCTCAGAAGGAAAGCAAGATTTCCAGCAGGAAACCATCAACTTTGCATGCAAAGAAAAAGGAGGCAGATTAGAAGAGACCACAGGGCCTGAGGCTGTACTTAGGATACTGTAAGGCTGACAGAGTAAAGAAAAGGGCAAAACAGCATTTGTCGCAAGTTTAGCAGTTACAGTGCTGAATGGTCCCGCCCCTGCTATTTTGTTTATTATTTCCTTTACAGCTGCTTGAAATGAAGTATGAAAAGGTTACAAAGACCTTAAAGAAAGGGCAGTAAAGAGCAGACAAACGAACACTTCTGAGGTGGGGAGAGCTGACTTTGATCACAGGTTATGTGGTGATTTCAGCAAACCCAGCCTGTTCAGCCATGGGAATGAGGCACAGACTCTCCCATTT